AAACCAAAATGCTTTCATTCGTATGTTTAAATAACCACATCATTTATATCTGATTCAAAGTACATTTTATGCTTTTGTTTTTTTTTCATTAAAACATAGTCTCATATTTTTCAACTCTTTTAATATGTTTTTTCTTGTGTGTGTGTTTGAATAAAGTAAACATTTTTTTTAAAGCGTAGCGATTTTATTGAAATATATAATCACACAGACGTTAAAAGATCATTTATTGATAAAATCACAACGGTAAACACAACTTTGCACGCCGTGTACAATATGACAGTAAGAATCTATCCGCAGCAAACTTTTTACATATTTTTTAACAGAGCGATCATTTTCTCGTAAATCGGTGGAATAAGAATTTAGAACCTGAGAAAACGTAAGACCCTTCATACGCTGTTTTAGAAAATACACGCAGTGATGACCGCAGGCGTCCGACCTATGGTCTTGAACTTGTCTAGCGTTACACAAAACTCGTCGTGAATTATTTTTTAGAAAAAGCATGATGTAACTGGGGAAAAATTCAGAGTCCGGCGGAAACCCGTAGGAATAAAAAAACTCTGCATTTCCATCTGACAGTATTAAAACAGCCAACCAATGCTGTCCAGGTTGTGAGGATGCGTGTTGATGACGTAACAGGACGGAGGTGTGTGTTTAAACACCCGAGGCAGTTGATCGCAGGGGAATACGCCTCTGAAACCGAGGGTGCATCGCATGGCTTTAGCGATCTGTCTGGTGTCCATTTTTTTTTTCAAAAATAGTTCATAAGCACTTCACGTTTGTGATTAATTTCTAACACGTTGTCAAAAACCGCAAACACGATGATGTTTATGGTGTTGGGCAAAGGCGCTCGAAACCGGAGGTCCAGTCTGACGTACCCCGACTGTATTAAGGAAACGTGTTCGCCCGAGCTTTCGTCGGGGGTCAAGTTGAACGCGAATAAACAGTAGCTCTGAGAAAAATCTTCACGAGAGATGGCCAAAGGCTGGTCCCTCAACCCTCTGTCCGTAGCCTCGACCAGGCTGAAGTATTCTCGCAGACAGCGCTGCCAGGGAAAAAGGGGTCGAAAAGGCGTGGACGGGTAGGACACACCGTCCACGCTGAGATTTAAAGATTCCACGTCGTAATGATGAAAATTAAAAGGATTTCGCGCGTAAGATCCGCTGAAAGCTTCGTTATGAACAAAACCTATAGCGATGAATTTTGGCACTTGGCCCAAAAATAGATTATACTGGTTTGACACGCGACCCCCCGCAGGCACGCTTAACACTTTAACGTTAACTCGTGCTAATGGGTACCTCGCGTTAGACTGAAGCAAAGCTGACGCGTGCCCCAGTTTCACACTGGGTGACACGTGTATTCTTTTCACGTACAAAAGGGCCGTTAAAATGTGAAGTTTATAGCCCGGGTTCGGATCCGATGACATTAAAACAAACTCGTTTTTATTACGAACTAACTTGATTCTCACGTCGACGGAATTTAAAAGAAGCTTTTCCTGAAATGCAAAGTCGTTATGCACCCCGCCGTGTCTTTGCGAAACAGCCCCGCTGCGAATTGCGAATTCAGAGTAGGTTCGGAATAGTTAAGCAAACACTCCAGAACGGCCCTGTAGTTGGTAACTTTGCGCGTGAGGTACAAAAGCGAACGGTTCAGATCGACGTAGGTGTCCCCCGACCCCGCTATAAAAATTCCAGGGGGCCGTTTTCGGTGATGGCCGTGATTGGTGGCGTTTCTACATATTTGTAGGATTCTATACTGTGTTGCGTCATAGGGATCGTAAATAGGTCCAGCTCGGACTTCATGCATTCCGCCGAGGCGCTGTGTATGAGAGACATCTTTTAAAATATGTCGGGACCCGCACCGGTTTTCCGCTCGCTCTTTTTTTTCTTCCTATTCCTTAAACGAGAGGCGCGGACGAGCGCACCCGCCAGCTTCCTGTTCAGACTGAGGCCTTTTGAAAAAACGCTTTTATTTTTAAAAGGTACGGAACCGCGACGCCCCGGCGGGCGCATGCGTCGATTCGCGCGGCTCAAAACCACCAGGCCTTCCCCCTCCTGCCGCCTTTCCGACGCGTTTCCCAGTAATTTCCCCGCCGCTGCGGAAATCACGTCTTTCGCGATATTTTTAGCAGCGGTCTTGAGGTGCGGTCTGACCAAGTTGAAACCCGATTTTAGCAGAGGCACCGCCAGTCTAAACAAACCCCGAAAAACGTTGCCGATCCCTCTTCCGTACTGCACGGGCGCTCCGCTGAAACCTTCTATAACGGGCCCCGCCTTTCGGCGTGATAAGCAAACATTTTTTATCGGATCGGTCTAAAATGTAGCTTCACGATCACTTTTCCAAATTCGAATTTGACGTTTCGGTTTTGATCCGTCTTTAACTCTATTAAAATTTCATCAAACACGTGTTTGCTGACCGGGTTGTAGTGCACCTTGTCAAAGTTTAGCGTGACGAAATCCAGATGCGCTTTGGGTATTTGAACGGTTCGCAAAAGAGGTGCTAAGGTATCGGCTACAATCTGATGCGAAGAAATATCCGAATAAAGAAACAAATAAAACGTTCCGCCTTTAATATGGGCAGGGAATTTAGTTTCGGTCGGGTCAGTCCACTTCTGTACCTCGAAGCCCAGAATGTGCGCCAACTGTCCGTGCGTTCGAATCCGAATAGGCCATCTGTTCAGCGAGGTCAGTCGTATAATCTCCTCCGGTGTGACCCCTAATTTTACCCGTCTCGTGACCTTATCCAAATATAATTCGACGTGGGTTTTGGTGGTTCTAAAATATTTGTTCATTTCGGTCAAAATGTCAGCGATGTAAGTATAATAACCGCATTTTACTTTAAAAGCCACCTGTTTACTGAGATCCGGCCCTTCGCACACCCAAAAGTCCGTTTCCTGTCGCCCGCCGAATAGGGGCTCGCGCCGCTCTCTCACGGGGTTTTTATCGAGCGTCCTGGATAGAATTTTCGTTTACCCAGGAGTCAAATTTTTTATCCCAACCTTTCCATCTCACCTTAACGAGAACCTCGGATTTAGTTTTTTTCCTAGCCAGTATTTTTTCTACACGATAGACTTTATTTTCAGGTACAATAATTTTCTGCATTTCTTCTTCATAAAAAGAACCTTCTATTATTTCATTATCGAGGTCTTTTAGTTTATACATCGGCGGGTCTCATTTAATAATTTTATCCACAAAAAAATATTCATCCGTGAAAGACTGTTCGTAACCTTTCGCGAAGACCCTGCGCTCTTTCGAAATCCGAACCGCGTCACCTATTTTAAACTTGGGTCGGGGTAATTCCCCTCTCATTCTTTTCCCGTACAGATGATGAAACACCTGTATCTGATTGCACTCGTTCACTTCTTCGGGACGCATTTTAATAGATCTGTGAAAAGCGCGATTGTAAGCGCTCACTAGTTCCTGAAGCACATCTAAATATCTCAAGGTGTTAAAACCTGTAAAATATCTGAACATCCGCGTTTTGAGGGTTTTGCTAAATCGCTCCACCACAGAGGCCTTCAATTCGCTAGCCGTAGTAAAATGTCTTATTTTATATTTGTTTAAAAGTTTTTTAAATAAATGATTACAAAATTCTCGCCCCTTGTCACTTTGAAGAGTGACGGGTTTTCTACCTCGTAAAAGTATTTGTTCAAAGGCCTTCGTTACGCTCTTGGCGTTCTTATTTTCCAACGCCTCCACCCACGCATATTTTGAAAACACATCTATGCAGGTTAAAATAAACTTTTTCCCATCGTTGTGTTCTGATAAAGAGGATAAATCTGCCAAGTCTAACTGCCATTGTGAATCTTTTTCGCACGCTAGTACGAAACTCCTTTTAAAGTTTATTCTTCGGGGTTTGTGTAGCGTGTAAGTGTCTGAACTTTGTAAAAACCTATCAGTTTCATCTTTGTTTTTATTAGCCAACCCCACCTCCCTTACGCTTTTGATAAAGGGCTCCCTACCACACAGACCGCCTTCCGACCCGGGTTTATGGTACAACTCTTGCAGCGCCGTCTGAGACATGTCCAAATGGTCGAGGTGTGAAACACGTCAGGGTTTTTATATTTTCTTCTGGGTAAAACACGGTCTAAAATAAAATGTGGAGAAAACAAACTGATGACAGAAAACGACTTCAAAAGGTTTTTATGTTTTTTTATTTTTTTGTTTAAAGGTTTTTATGTGTTTTTTTATTTTTTTGTTAAAACGGTTTATTTCTTTTATAATTTTTTTGGGTGTTAGTATCTAATCTACTGACAAACCGTTAGTTTGAGATATATTTAAATTAGTTTCAAACTAAATGTGATGAACACTGAAGTATAAAATATGAAAATAAAAATGATTACACTACTAAATATATGAAAATGAAAAATGATTACACTTAAAATATGAAAAGAAAAATGGTTACATGATTTCAAATATTACAAAAATATTAAAATGATTACACTTAAAATATGAAAAAAAAATGGTTACATGATTTAAAATGATCACACTTAAAATATGAAAAGAAAAATGGTTACATGATTTTAAAAATTAAAATGATTACACTGTTAAAAATATTAAAATGATTACACTATTAAATATATGAAAATGAAAAATGATTACACTATTAAATATATGAAAATGAAAAATGGTTACATGATTTAAAATATTAAAAATTAAAATGATTACATGATTAAAATATTAAATGAAAATGATTACATGGTTTAAAATATTAAAATGAAAAGACTATACAGTTTGTCTAATAAACATGCACAAAAGGGGTTCAAAAAATATGTAAACTACTAGCAGCGATCAAAAGATGTCATAAAGGTGCTATAAACAATTACACAAACTCAAACGACTAAAATATTAAATGAAAAACGTGGTGTTTTTTAATAAAACAAAAAGGTCCCAGTTTTTTCTAATAATAATAATAATGTTTATGGTTTGTCTAATAAAAAAAATATACAATGTATAAACTTACTAGCAGCAAAAAAACATCGGTGTCACAAATGTCTTATGTACAAATACACAATCTCTCTCTCTCTCGCGAATCACTACACATCCTCAGACCCCATCAGAATTTTACACACGTCGGCGGCCGTTGATTCCGCAGCGCTGTTCAGAGGTTCATCCGGCCGCATGTAGAACCGGCTCAGAATTTCGGACGGATCTCTGCTCAGGTACTCGGACAGCGGGTTATATTCACTCAATTTTTCCTGCGTCAGCGTGTAAATTCTACGCAAAATGTTTATTACAAAACCATCATGAGGTTCTTTTAATTCAAAGTGTTGCTTTAGAGACTCTTTTATTTCCAATTCACAAGCGGGAATGAGATTCAGCCACTTCTGCTTTAACTCGTTGTCCAGAAATCTTACGGGGACGCCTTCCACGCAACTGTGCTGTCTCTGTGATGGGTGTTCAATTTGACACCCACCGCAATCTCTCGTAACCCATTGACGAACAGCCAGGATGATCGCTCTTGCCCAGATAAATTCCACAATTTTCGTGGCTCGGTCCTTCAGACTGAGGTCCGAAGGCTTCTCGCTCTGACTTTCCGAGCTGGCGTCAAGAGGTTCCTCGCATTGACCTTTTGACCCCGTTCCTGAGAAAGCGCTCGCGTTCTCTCTCTCACGCTGCTCGATGTCAGCCGGCGAAGAAGGTCGGCTTTGTAAGCCGTCCTCGTCCACCACGATAAATTCATCGCTGTCCAGATCGGTCACGCCGGAGACTTCCTCTTCCTCTTCTTCTACCTCGCTGGCGCTGGTCGAATCTGAAATGTCATTTTCGCCGCTTTTTTTACGTTCCACGAGGTCTAGATCAGAATCTCTCCCGCTGGGCATGTCCTCGCACATGCGCATCGCTGTTTTGTCATCTTGGTATTTAGACATCAGACTCGTCGGGCGTGGAATATGACAGCTGTCGCAACCGCATATTACGCTGGCTGGTGATAGAGAGAGAAAATCGTTAAAAGGTTTAACGGGCTCGTACATGCTTACTCTTCGGCCTCACGCTGCAACTTGAAACGGTATAACCCTTTTCACGGCTTATATTCACAAACTACGGTACCTCAAACGGTCAAAATGAATTCTTAAGAAAAAAAGCGTTTTTCTTACCTGTCAGAACATGTTTGACCGCGTGATAAATATCCAGTAGTTCGCTCTCCCGCAAAGTTATTTCAATCAGCTGGACGTGCTCTTCTTTTTCAGTAGGGGCAAAATAAAAAAATCCACTGGTCGTCATCGCTGGAGCACACGTTTTCGTGCCTTATCACATGTGACGTGCATACTTCCAGTCGAACTCTGTAGGTAAACTCAGGGGTCTTGAGCCCTGTGATGGTCAGGGTGATTTGACGCAAATAATGCGCGGATCTGACCTTCAGTGTGATTGTGGCTGACCTGGACAGTTCGCTCTTGTGTTTTGTGTCGCGAACCGTGCATGACCTGTTTCTGGCCTGTAAGATCATAGCATGCAATTCCCCCACTTCATTCGTTTTCGGGACGGTCTGGTTTAACAGGTACAACTCCTTTTCAGAAATGGAGACTTCAGTCGGCTTGTCACTGTGAAACAGTCTGCTCTGACGGAAAACGATGTAGCGATTGTTCAGCCGGGTTTCTTTCGGCAAAATTGTCAAATACGTAATCGAAAGACATCTCCTCTTTATGCTCGGTTTAAACAGACTGTCGTCCGCTCTGAATCTGTCGATTTCCTGCTTTTTCTTCTGCGAAGGTGTAACATCGTTTTCTTCCCGAATCGAACGGGGCCAGCAGTGTTTAGGTATGTCATTGCGAACGAAGGCCTTCCTCGCGCTCAAAATTTGACTGGGGTTGCTCCTTCAGTTTCAGTCGTTTTAGGCTGTTTGGCCACACGAAATAAGGTATTCCACGCTTTTGTAAGTTGTCCCGAATGAATGTGCGATAGCGCCATTTGCTCAAGGAATTCAAGATCGGAGATCCGGCTTGAGCCTTAGACGATCTGTCTGGAGAATCCATGACGATGGTTTTGCAGAAAAGTCACTCTCCGCACCAATCTGTCTCTTTTACGGCCAGTTTTTATAGTATTGTGAGGAGAAAAACACCACGACACCTGTTCAATTATTAGTCACGCTTAGCAGAACGGGCCCCCCCACTTGCTACTGTCACTCAAAAACACAACAACTACGTCATACCATTACATCCTGGGAATCTTCCCAAAACACATCCTGGGAATCTTTTTTTTCCAAAACACATCCTGGGAATCTTTTGAAAATTATTCCCACGCATCATACCGGGCAAACCTCGGGTAGTTATCAAAAAGCATTCACACACACACACACACACACACCATACCCCTGGGAAAATACTTTACACATTTCACATGTGACGTCATGCATAACTCATAAATCATTTTGACATTTACCGGGGTTAATAACTACTAACCTCTATCAATATATGTCTGAGGACAAAACTAATTTGGTGAAAATCAGTAAGTAAGGACATTGTGGCCAATTTAATCCTGAGAACTCATCACCTCTCAATACAAGTGAATTTGTTCACAAGCGGACCTTGACCGCTCCAACATGGTGGACACGCAGACGTATTGCCTCAGAGAATCACTCACTTCATTTCTAGGTATGTATACCTATGTAAACAATTGCCTACGGATCTGTCTGCTTAGTGACAGTTTACTAACGTGGGATTATTTGAAGTTAGCTGATATTTTGTGTCACACGACAACTTGAACTAATCTCTGGCAGTATTAGCTGCTGTACAAAGTTAGCTTTAGCTGTCTAAGAAGTATAACGACTTTTGCAAGAGACATCAAGAGACATGGTTCAGAAAAATCAATCAAACCAATTCAAGTGAATTCCAGATGAAGCAAACTTGTTGTAGCATCCTCACAATGTTTACATGTTGTAGTCTAATGACATTTCAAAATGAAAGCATCACAAAATCATGACATAAAATACAATATTATAAGCAACCATGTGAGTAGATTGCAGCCGGCTTCTAATTTTCTGTTAGCCCTACTTGTGTTTTATGCACCACAAAACACAAATCCACGTAACTTATACCACTCCATTAGTGAGTGGTTAGAGTGAGTAGCAGACCTGTTTGCTGATTTGATTCTTGCTGTATTTAAAGTACACAATTAAGTTAATTTGACAGTTAATTGTTGAATCTGACGTTCGATTTTTTGAAATAAACAATTTGAAACAATAGATGGAAAAAGTAAATCAAACCTTCTGTTAAATATTATTTCCTTTTATTTTTTATTAACTTTGTCTTTTCCTTTATTTTTATTAACTTTGTAACTTCTCTTGAACTTTCTTCTTGTTCCCTTGCCTTTTGTGTTAATCTCGTTTGCATTTTGTATGTCTCTCTTGGGTGATGTGTGGGGGCTGTGGAGAGTAGTCACTTTGTCATGTAATAACCTCCAATGGTTAGCCTATTTTACATCTGGTTATCTATAGCTCCCCAATCTAGCAATGCCATTTGTTGTAGGGATATCTCTGAGACATCCTGGCTCCTAGATGGGGGGACTGTAAATTCCTGGATGGGCCTCAACACCTCTATTTTAATCACAAAGGTAGAGCAAGTCACCCATCAAGTAGGGGGCTTCTGGGTCGTTTAGACAAAGGGACAACAAGAAGGTGTGGTTTACATGGTTGACTATAAGTCCATCGTTTTGTAATCTTAGTTAGACTTGCTTGATACGAAGATGCGCGTATTAAACTTCTTTTTCCTGGACAAAGTCTCCACTCCTGTTATTCAAGAAACCAACAATTTTGCCAGCAGAAGTCAACACTTCCATCGCGTGCTGTAATTACTTACGATAGCGCTAAATCCCTACTTCTACCAGACATCAGTGGACTTAACGGGGTCTTGGGAGATCAAATGGGTCTATATGAGTGTAGAATCGATGCCTGTGCCCTACAACACAGTAAAGTTAGTTTTATTTTTCGGTGCTAATAACATTTGAACAGACTATAGAAGTTAGTAAAGACGTATTCACGACAGTACGACCACAGAGAGTGATGCACACCTTGTCTTTTGCGGTTAGGGTGACATTTATCGTACCCCCTCTTTTTGTGTTAATACTGAAAAACTGAGACAGGATTTCCAATCTGAAAAAAAAATTATGCGTTTCTAGACCACACCTACATCTGTTTACACGTATTTGTTTTCCTCCAAATCGTTTCAGTGCTTTTAAAAACATATTTTATTGTTTCCTTTAACAATAGATTCCATCGGGCCAAAAAAGGTCAGTAGCTCCATAACCACTGTGTCTATACAAATCTGGTAAATTGTTTTGTTTACTTTGATCTATGGTGAGAATTGCACACCACAAAAGGACATTTAATTAATGGTAGCTAAAAGTGTTCTTGGAAAAATAATAGCACAACTGCAGTTCCCTTGGAATGAATAACACTATAGTATAATATTTTATATTCATTTAAACTTTTATATTCATCTAATAAAATAACATGGATGTAATCAAATAACTAATTTAGATTTTTTTTTTTATTTCAATTGCTTTTCAACCAAATTTAAGGATGTCCCAATCTGATCTCAAAGATTGGTATTGGGGCTGATCAAGCATTTTTAATCGGTATCCACTTTACTGAGCGTGAATCTATGCCCAATCCTTTGTTTTACGTCAGCGGTCACATGGGTGTCGTAGCGGAGAGCACAGTTTGTGGCAGGACGCTGTTAAAATCTGCCTTGTGGAAATATTTTAAAGTGGAGAACGAAACCTGTCCAACAGCCCTGTGTAATGTATGCAATGTGAGCATTTCGCAGGGTGGTAGTAACAGAGCTACGTTCAATACTACCAATTTGATATGGAACCTAAAAAGTAAACACTTACTTAAAAAGTGGAATAAGGTGAGTTTACTTGGGTAACTCAGGCAAAGGCTGCACCAAAGCAACACACACTAGAGCAAATTTTTAAAAGAACAGAGAGGTTTTATCGAGACAGCGAAGTGGCCAAAAAGATTAGAGTAATCAAATTCATCGCTTTGGATTACCAGCCTATCGCTGTGGTAGAAAACACAGGTTTTTGCCGTCTTTTGGAGCCACACTACGCCCTACCTTCTCGACACTACATTTCAGACACAGCCATACTGAAGCTTTATAACAAGGTTCATGACTACATATGAGGTCTTCTATCAGATGTGAGTGCTATTAGCTTTACTACAGACATAGTGAGCTTATGTTTCCCCGATGTCATTACTTCATTTTGAAGTGAGAGTGTAGATAACTGAATGAGAGAAAGGAAAAACTGTTGCAGCTCCAATAAAAGCACTTTAAGAACTGGCCTTCCTTGATAACAAAAAGTACAAAGCAACTTTATTATTTTGATATTCAGTTTTTACTGTAATGCTGTTACTCTAATAAGTAGAAACATATATTGTTTTTTACATGTTCAAGTTAAACTGCTATACCACTTCATTGGAATTGAGATTTCTGTTTTTTTTATTTTAATATACTATTTTTACTATAATGGTGCACTAGGTGGAATTTTGTTTTTTATTTGTTGTGAATCGGGCTGGAACAAACAACTAATTTCATAGTTGAATAATCTATCGATTACCGAAGCGAATAATCATTTATTTGGATTATGAATCACTACATTACCAATTAACTTTTATGTAGCTGTTAGCTTTTAAATTTAGCTTGAGGTTCTTTTATGCATTTGCTAACTAACAACGAAGATAATAAAGATGAATACCATTCAAGAATTCACTGTTTTAATGAACTTTCCTACTAATACAAAAGATTAAAAAATTAAACTCCAATGTATTTTTCCTGTCAAACGCAAAATAGCAGCAATAAAATATAACAAAACTAAATCAGTTTTTCTTTAATCAAGTAAATAAAAAAATCTATTTTAAATTTTAAATTTAAACTGTGCAGTCTGTGATCTGTGCAATCTTGTTGTCTGTCTACACTTTGCTGCAACTAAATTTTACAATCACAGGTCTTTATTGAAACAGAGTAAAGTGAGCATCTCTCCGTGCTCCTGTGAGTGTCTCGAGTGTTCCGCTGCAGAGAAGATGCGCTCTGATGGAGCGGATGGGAAAGTGGCGAATGTTTGTGGCAGAGTTGTTCTTTATAAACGGTTAACTTTTAACGATTTTGTGTAAACGCTTCATTTCATCGGTAACCTTTCGTCCAGCTACCCTGTGTGTTCACGGAGAACTACCTCCTTAAACTGTTAACGAGTGGTGCTAAACGTTCGCAGAGAACAGAGAACTCTTTTCAAACACTCTCTTGTGTTCACCGAATTTGAATGCACCGGTGCTCTCGACGTTAAGACAACGATGCAGTGTTTAAAACTGTAAACTTTATTTGGAATGTGAATAGGGTCGCTGTGAATAATAGTTACTTGCTTCTCTGTTCCAACTCCATTAACAATTCCAGAGAACATGCATTTCGAAAAAGAAAATGTTAAAGCTTAGCTCATAACATGAAGCAGGACGGCTTTTAACATGAGCATTAACTAACCAGCTCGCTGGCACAACTATCGCCGCGTCCCACACACTTCTGGACTTCACACACTACACTAATGAGTGCACTTCTAGTGGTATATGCGCTATTTTTACACATTATTTAGTGTGCTAGTATGCGATTTGGGACAGGGCGTATCTTGTCGAGATGAATCTTCTTTGTCCAGTGAGCCGACAAGTTTCCTTTTCAGATGCTCCAACATGGAGGATGTGCTCCCGTGCCAGCTAAGGTCGGCTTTACAAATAGCACAACTGACAACTTTTTTCCTAAGTTTAGCTCCCACACTTGAGGACTTTGTTCTTGACGCTGCCATCGTGCTGTTGTTAAGTCTCCAGTAAGCGGTAATGTGAAAACGTTTTTAGTGAGCGCGAGAAAGACGCGTAATGATGTCGCCAACTAATCGACTACTAAATTAGCTACCAACTAATTTGGTCATCGATTTTAGTAGACTAAGGCGAATAATCGTTGCACCCCTAATGTCAATACATGGATAAATATTGCTTTGCATATGCATGTGTAATAGATTTGCTCAGAGGTGTGGTGTAGATTACTAATGGCTTACATAATTTATAGGTGAACAAAAATTCATTGGTTCCCACCGTGGGGTTATTTCTAAAAATGCTAGAATCTTTGCTGATGCAAGAGCTCCACCAGTCC